GGCTGCCTGAGGAGGCACAGCCATCCCATCATGAAAAATTCATCAGCAGATGTCCCGGGAGGCTGACGCACGGCCCCTTCCCGGCGGGGCGGGGAGGGCAGCAGGAGCACCTCAGCCAGACCTCCCCTCACCAGGCTCCCTGCCTGGAGCACACAGGGTCACACACAGCACTGAGAAGATACTATGGATGCTCCCTGACACTCTCCCTGCTTGGATTTGTTGGTGCTACTACAACCAAAGTCAGGAGGCGAGCGGGGAAGTGACCACAGGGAGGATGCCTGGACGTGGGGTTGAGGGCAGGGGGGTGGCAGCGCTTGGCTGCGGGACCAGAGATGCTCAGGGCTGTGCTCAGCATCACCCCCGGCACCTGCAGCTCCAAGCAACGGGCTCTGCCCTTCTGCCCTGTGCACAACCCCACGCTGTGGGTGGGGAAAGGGGCTGGGGGTGCAGCTGTGCAGCCAAACTGAGCTGGGATGCCCTAGTTCAGAGAAGGGCAACAAAGCTGGAGAAGGGGCTGGAGCACAAGTCTTGTGAGAAGCAGCTGAGGGAGCTGGGGTTGTTTAGCCTGGAGAAGAGGAGGCTCAGGGGTGTCCTTATCACTCGCTACAACTCCCTGAAAAGACGTTGTAGCCACGTGGGGGTCGGGCTCTGCTCCAAGGCAACAAGCAACAGGATGAGAGGACATAACCTCAAGCTGTGCCAGGGGAAGTTTAGGTTGGACATGAGGAGGAGTTTCTTCACATAAAGGCTGATTAGACATTGGAATGGGCTGCACAGGGAAGTGGTGGAGGCACCGTCCCTGGAGGTGTTTTGGGAAAGACTAGTTGACATGGTAGTGTCAGGTCACAGGTTGAACTCAATGATCTCAGAGGTCTTTTCCAACATAACTGATTCCATGATTCCATGATATTTATGCCATTGTGGCAGGATGTGGCCCATCAGGGAAACACACCCTTGCGGGGATGAGCTCTGGGCTGAGGTGCCAGGTCGGGACCTGGGGAGTGGTGGCAGGATTTGGCTTAGGTTGGCTCACGTGTGCTCCTCTTGGTGCTGCTGGGCCCAGCCCAGCTCTTATCGCAGTGTCTGCGAATGGCAGAGCCCTTGGCCAGCCCTGGACCGCTGACCGGGGCTGAGATAAGCCAAACACACAGTTCAAAGGCCATCCCCTCTCTGCTGGCATGAGGCAACCTGTGAGGCTCTGGGCTATGCCCTGGAGGGGTGCAGAGCTGGGAAACACCTTTGGGAAATGAGGGTGACAATGCAAACTGCTGCCTTCCCCCTTCTTGCCAGCTCTGGGCCAGGCAGAGCAGATGTGGTCTGATCCTGCCCTGTTCTTAGCAGGGCAATCAGTCCCTGAGGGCTTCTCAAAGCCTGGACAGGCCAGGCTCCAACCCCAGAGCACACAGCTGGGGAGAGGGGACACCATATCTGAGTGTGGGTGGGCACCAGCCCCTTATCCACCCACCTGTGTGGTCCCATCTGACACTGCATGGCTGCCATGGGAGGAATGGAGGGAGTGTTGGGATGTCCCCAGGACTCAGAGAGTGTTTTTCCAGGATTTACCACCCCAAGGGCTGGGTCAGCCCAAGCTGGGAAAGCCCTGCAGCACCCAAGCTCAGTCTGGTAGAGGAGCCTGCACTACCAAACCCCCTTGGCATGGGAAGCAGGGACTGCTGCACCCCTCGGAGCCGTTTACCTGCAGGGCCCTGCCCCAGCACCTGGAGGGCTGACTGGCAGGTCAGCTGGTGCTTTTTGCACAACAAAGCCATGGGCTGCTCCTTTATCTTGTTCTCCCTCCCCTATTATCAATAGTTTTTCTGGTCCAACTGGATTTACCTGCTACCACATCCCCAAGAAAGGGAGAAGGTCCACACAGCGGGAGGTGAGGAGAGTGAACCCCCCACCCCTGCACACCCAAGGCCTGCCCCAAACCTCTCTGCAGTTGGGGAACATAAATAGCATCTGATAAGACACCAGCACAAGGCCTTTTGTGCTGACCTGGAGCAGGCACATGCCTCTGCTACACTCCCACAGCATCCAATCAGCCACGGCAGCTCCAGAGCAGAGTATCTGGAGGGAGCACCTGCTCCATGCCAGGAAGCTCTGGGTGCTCTGTGCCTCAGCTGCTTGCCTGGGAAGAAGAGAGATAGGAGTGATAGTCTGGATCATGGCACAAGGTTGCCTTGGAGCTGTATATGGCACACACAGTGGCTCCCTCTAGCACCTGCTTGGGCTTGGTCTTGGCTGCCAGCACTGGCAGGTACCTCAAACCCCAAGGTTTGTGTCTGTGAACACGCAGCAGGACGTGGTGGTGCCTGCTCCTGCAGTCACACTGAAAGAAGGAAGAGGTGGAAATGAAGCAAAAGATTCGAAGCCCTGGCAGGAAGGTGACAGTGTGAGAGCTCCTGGGTGACAAGTGGCTTTGGTTCCTGCAACCTGGCAGGGAATATTTAGAGCCTGTTAACTCCTGGGGAACGCCAGGAGGAGTCAGGCACGGCTCTAATAACAACTCACGGTACTCACCAACAGCTTCTGAAAAAAGCAGCGCTGACACAACAGCAGCTTCTGGACATGCTGAGACACAGTTGTGTATTTATTACTCAAATCAAACGTCTCTGTTTAAATCCTGCAGCCCGCGGAGCTCCTGGCTGTCAGCAGGGAATCCCCTGCTGGTCGCTGGCACTGGGTGTCGTGTCTGTGCATGAGGAGGAGTCGCTGTGTCTGAGCACCCCGGGGGATGTCAGACCCCATCCCGCCGTCTGTCCCTCTGCCCGCGCTGCCTTCAGCTCCGTGGCGTGTTGCAGGAGCCGAGGCCACACCTTTACACACTTTGTGAGTGGCACTCACAGGTACCAAATCTCTGCTCCATGTGCCCCTACATGTGCCCAGGGAGCCCCCGGGCCACAAATCCCGCGGGCAGGCGGGTGTTACAAAGCCGAGGACACTGGGGAACACTGGTGTGGTGCAGCGTGGGCAGCTGCAGGGCCGTGCATGGCACTGGGACACGGTGCCAAATCTGGATGTGCCAGCCTCGGCACCGTGCCGGCAGGTCCCTGAACAGGAGCTGCCACCTGGTGGCACAGGGACAATCCTGCTGCCCTACCAGCCACAAGGATGGGGACATTTGGGGTGGCCCTGCGCCCTGGCACTGGCTCCATTGAGCTGCACTGAGCAGGCTGGGGCTACTCCGGCACAGTCCTGATTTTCCCCCCGGGACACTCACCCAGCTGGCATCTCGCCCAAGCCCCAGATCCTGGCTCTTGCCAAGGGTGCTCCAGCTCTAGCTGCCCTCCACAGGTTTTGCTCCATTAGTTTGTGCCAGGACAGAAGCTGGCTGGGAAATGTCACCTCTGAGCTCCCTCAGCTTCCTGTGGCTGCTCTGGACCTGAGGCCACAAGATCAGGTGGCCCTAGTGAGGCTCAGCTGGACTTGTGCTGCAGGGCATGTGTCCTGGTGTGTGCCACACCTCAACCAGCCCACGGTGGGACAGGATGTCTTGGTGCCAGGGGGGACAGGAGCAAAGTGAGGAGGTGAAGGGGACCACCAGGTCAGAGCAGCTTTCCTGGGATCAGAGATGATGTGACTTTGAGCTTGCTGGGAAACTCCAGAGCACAGCAAAGGCCCTTTTCCAGCCAAGGTTATCTCTGATAACATCAAACTGTGCCGATTGTGTTGAGAGGAAAGCCTGGAGGGAACAAACTCTGCTGGCAGGGAAAGCCTCCTGGGAAGTTTCCTTCCCTTGACTCTGGGAAGCCTCAGCACTGGGGAAAAGCACGGGCTGGGGGCTGCCAGCCCATCCCAAAAGCCTCCTCGCCCACGGGGGGATCCTTGTTCAGTGGGACTCAGCCCCATCCGGCTTCCCAGAGGAGAGGGAAACAAAAGAGGAGGAGGGGGAAGGGAAGGGTCTAAGAGAAACTTCTTCCAACTTGTCGGGAAGAGAAAAGCTCTATTCAGGCAGGAAGAATACCCGTGTGGAGCCGGTCACTAAGCAACCCGCAGCAATGTGGTGGTGCCTGAGGGACAGGCAAGGAACAAAAGTGTCTCGCTGCCCACCCAGAGCCCCGGCAGGGAGAGCCTGCAGGGCCTGGGGACAGGGGACACAAGAGGTGCACAGCCTCCACGAGGGTCCAGAGCTCCTGGGGCAGGGGCTCCTCCTCGGTCAGCTCCGGAGGGTGACCAGCCTCCATCAGGCTTCCCCTTTGCTGCTCAGGAAGGATTTGTGGTCTGCTCCTGTGGCTCCCCATGGGCCTGGTGTTCACACAGGGCTACATCATTCCCAACAGAGGCACAGTGCTCCCTGCTCCCACAGACACTGTGAGTGTGCATGGGCAGAGCATCCCAATGCAGGCTACACCCTCTCCCAGAGAAGCTGAATTCTGCATTTAGATTCAAAATGTGGGGGGCTGTCCTTTGCAAACAAGCTCAATGAGACATGATCAACTGCCTGGCCTCTCGGCAGCACAAGGAAAAAAGGGACAAAGGAAATCAAGCCTGACAAATCCTGCTGACAGTCCCAGCTGAAATGCTTCCCTTGGGCTCCAGGGAGTCCCTGGAGACGCTGCTTCCCCATCTGAAATGCTGCAGAAATGGGAAAACACTCACAGCCAGAGCAGGTCCACTGAGACCAGCCAGTGTGCAGCTGGTTAACTCCAGGGAGATGCCCTGGACACTGGAAGTGGCTTTTTGTCTGCATAGTGTCACAGGGGGGAACATCCAGCCCTTCACACGTTTGCCTTGAGCATCTGATACACTTGGAGAGGACAAACCTTCCTCAGAGAGGTGTTTGGCCAGTGCTGATCCCTGTCCTGCAAGAGCCAGGTGAACAAGTGGGGGATGCTCAGGTGTGTCCACATAAACTGCAGAGCTTCTAGAGATGGAGGTGATCTCAATAACCTTCAGCCCTGCCCTTCCCTGGCTTCATTATCTGCTACATCTCAGCCTTTAAAGCATCAGCTCTGGATGAACTAAATAACCACAACCCACAGGGCTACAGTGAAAGATCAGCTTGGCCAAAGTAGTGCCATTTATTTTATGTACAAAAGCCCTTTGAGAAGGCCAACATGCTGCACGTGTCCTGGACACAGCACTGTGGGGGACAGGCACTCCAGCCAGCAGCAAGGAAGGGTAGCATCCATCCCTGGGCTTGGAGAGCTCCCACCTTCCCTGGCAGGAGGACAGACACAGCGCTCTGGGCACAGCTGGGAGCCAAGCATGACAAAGTCCAGCTAAGCAAGGACTTGGCACACCAGGACCATGCCAAAAAATTCACATTTTGTGCAGCCATGGGATCCCTGGAGCAAGAGGCACCAGGTACTGCATGTCTGCTGCACCATGGAGAGCAGTTACCTGCCCCTGAGCTGATGGCAGTGCTCCTTTGGAAGTGTCACAAGGCCACACTGGGAAGCAGAAGTGAGACTCATTCTCTCTTGAGTTAGTCACCTGGAAGTGTCCAGTCCACCCTTTTTATCTGCAGGGAGCAGAGTGAGAGCAGCACCTCCAGAAATAAAGTCAAGCTGAGACAGGGCCTGTGTGTGCATCTCCATCCACTGGCTCCTGAGGGAGCTTGTTTAGACAACACCCAACTGCACAGTGGGCATCACTAATGGAGAGGATCCACCAGAACAGAAGTAGCCCCAGCCTGAGGAGCATCTCCTTGCAAAGAGAGAAAACTTGGATTAAATAAAGGACACTGGACCATATGCTATCCAGATCTATCCTGGATTCTGTTTTCCCAATACCTGTGCCTACAAAAACCAGCAGGAGTCTTGCAGCACAGCCACAAGGATTTTGTTGGCACTCTGCATTTTCTTGTTCTTCTCTGGGTCTGCAGCATTCACACATTTGTGCAAGTGTTGTGAAAGAATAGAGGTGCTGAAGGAGGGAAATATCTTTGTGGGGATGAAATGTGCCTGGCAGCCCAGAACTAACCTTGGCTCTGGTGGTCCTCTTCTCTTCCCAGTGAGGTGCTGAGATTTCCCAAGCAATGGCCCTTGCCACACAATCAGGATCTCTGGTAAAGCTTTATGATATTCTCATCGTGAAGCTTTTTCCACACCTCCTTCTCCAGTTTGAAGTCGTGGTTAATGTAGAAAATCAGCCGCTTCCAGTCCTTGTCGTAGTAGTGATCCGAGTACTTCTCGTGCCCGTCCGTGATGTAGCCATAGGCACTCACCTGGGAAAGATGGGGAGCTCCCTGGGCAGGGGTACCGAGGGTGGAGGGAGCTAAGTGAAATACAGGACACAGTTCCCAAACAGGGAAGGAGCACAGGACAGAGATGCCAACTGGGGCTCCTCTGGTGACCCTGCATGGGGGCCCAGAAGGACCAGATTATGAGCACTGGCTCCTGCTGGCTCCTCTCACTGCCTCCCTGGGAGCTCACATGCTCTAGGTCACAGCAGGCTTCACAACCTCTGTGTGAGCTATCTTAGGGCTGTTTCTCTTGTCTTCAATCTGCTGCTCCACAGCTAACAACAGCCCACATCTCTCAAGGCAGACAGTAGGCAGGGTTGTAGCCACCCCTGCTCTCCCCTGCCAGACAGTGCTGGGTGCAAGAATCACGGGGCCCTTACCCGGTCACAGAGGTGGAGGGCAGTCAGCAGCAGGAAGGCCCCAGTTGTGGGTCTGTACAGCCTCCAGTAGGGCTTTTCCAGATTTTTAGATTTTAAAAACCTGCAGCAGGAGAAAAGAAAGCCCAGAGCGGTTGCTGGGTGTGGTGTTTCAAGCGGGGCACACCTTTCCCTCTGTAGCCTCTGTCACATCTTCCTTCCTTGCAGCAGGTTGTGGCCATATGAGGCATTTCAGAGAAGCCATGAGTATGCCCAGAAGCTCCATCACCTGCACTGCAACCTAATCACAGCTCTGCTCCAGTTTTATGGAAGTGGAAGTGGGGATTGAGGCAGTGGGGATAAAGAGGGGATGGATTAAAGGATCTAGTAGGTTAAAGCCCACTACTCTTAGGTCTGTCCTTTGCCTTGCAGTGCTGAAGTGGCTTTGAAGCTCTGTGGTATATCCTGCTCCCCATCCACATCTAAGAGTGAAAACGAGACATAGGGAAGGTGCAGAGGAGGGTCACAAAACGTGCCAGGAGCTGCATAACCTGTGTTATGACAGGAGTTGTTTGGAAAGCAGGAGTCCACACCAGGAAAAAATAGCATTGAGTCCTCATGGCCTTGGAAAGGACCCAAGTCAGAGGGGAGACGTCAGAACGAGCAGGGAGTGCTGGCCATCTGGCTCTCAGGGAAGGCAGAATGCAGCTCTCAAGGAGACTGAAGGGTAAAGGCAGCCAAAAAAGGCACGACAGGAGCTCCTGTTCCTACATCTCAGTCACGTGTGGCCCACGATGGGCAGATCTCAGTGACAGCAGGCTTGTGGACAGGATTGGAGAGGCACAGAAGAGCAGCCAGACCAGGCAATTGGGGTGCTAAAGAAGGGTCTATTATGGTGTTTGAGGGGACAAACAACCTCAGGAGTCTAGAAGGAATCTCTGTAGAGAAGGTCTGTTACAGAGCCTTTCTCCAAGGTGCTCGAAAATGGGGAATATGAAAGGCTGGTCCTGAACTAGATCAACTATTCCGGCACTTCATCAACACTCTTCCCACATTTAAAGTTGCCATTTGCCCAGGATCTCTTTTGGCTGCAGAAAGCCAAACTGTCTCCAGCTCTCAAATTCTGGATGACTACCCACCACTAACCCACTGCAGCACCACAGAGAATTTCAGCTGAGTGCACACTGCTGAAGTTTACCCCCAGGCTGCTGGTGTGGCTGAACTGGAGTTACAAGGGAGCAGAGAGCTGGGAGGAGAGCCCAGAGACAGACAGAGATGGTGCCAGCCAGAAAAAAAAAGCCCATTAGAGCACATAACCCCCAGCTCACCTGTTTTTCATGTATCTGAGGAAATCAGGGTGAACCACCAGGTATCTGTCCATTGTGAAATCTTTGTCAAATTTCTGCCGGGGCTTCTGCCTAAAGACAGGAATGGGGAGACTCAGGATGAGATCCTACACTTCATCACAGCTGCAAAGGATCAGCACTCGCTGGTAAGAGAAGAACCACAAGCACTGTGAAATTATTCTGCAACATTTCCCAGATTATGACAAAGTGTCCATAGCCTGTGTGTGTTGCAGAGGAAGAGATCAGGGAGGAGAGGCAACAACAGGAGACAGGAATACCAAAAAGCACATGTTTGTATAGGTAAGAATTGGTGAAACCAGGCTTTCATCCATGAGCAGGCCAGCACGTACAGACACCAAACCAGACAGCAGCATGTGCTCATCCCAGAGGGCCACAGAGCTTTCTCCAAGCTCTGGCCACACACCATTGAAATCAGCTACCTCTGGGAAGGAGGTGTATTGGTTACAGCAGTGCTCAGAGCTGTGGAGGAAATGAGATATTTCTCCAAACAGATATGCCAGGGGAGGGAGGCTTTAGCCTGGCTTTACCCTGGCCTGCCCCTCCTCAGGGCTGAGCACTGTGTAGAGGAAAAGGGCAAAACAGAGAGCTCCTCACTGCAGGCTGTAGAGAAGGCTAGTTTGTTTTACCCGCTGAGGTTCAAGAATCCTTTCCTGATGTCCTTGTTGAACAGAAGAGCCTGCAGCCACTCATAGTCTCTAGCTCCCTCCAGGAAGTGAATGTATTTGACATGCTAAGAAAACAAATGAGCATTACCAAACAGCACTTAAAATCAAAGCAGACATGTGCTTTAAAAACAAAATGCAAGCAGACATCTAGGCTCACTGAGTTTCTTGGGCACACATCTTCAGTCTGCACCTTTCAACTAGCCCACAGAAGCAGAATGGAGATAACATCTGATGTGCAGCTACTTCTACATGCCAAAAGGCTGGGGTGGGACTGACACAGCTTGCCACTGCAAATACTCACTCCCAGCCAAGGCAGTGCAGGTTCCCTCATTGAGGGAAATGCTGAAGTGCTGGCTCAGCCCCTTCGCTCCTCACGCATGGCAAGAACAGAACTGAAGGCCGCAGACAAGCAGCATCCCATCAAAGCTGTGCATTCATACAGCATGGACCTGACTTACTTTCTCCCGTGGGATGTTGCTGAACCCTTTGTGTCCCAAGATCTGAAGAGAGGAAACCAGGGAGAAGGCTGTGAATCCATAAAAGGAGGTTTTTGTTCCCACATCTTTTTCGTAACCTTTGATTACAGCCCCGCTCACCCTGAGCAAGGAAATGAGAGGAGCAGAGTTAGGTGACCACTGCAAACCCTCACGTCCATGTTCCTAACAGGAAAAGGTAGTGTTAGTCTGGAGGAAGGGAGGACTAGGCCTGTTCTGAGAGGCACCCTGATGGGCAGGAGAGCCCCTGCTCTGGAGATGGCTCTTTGTGGCTCAGTTGTGAACACAGGCTGTGGGTGTTCAGGAACTTCGCAATTACTTTTTGACTTTTTGTCTCCTCCCACGAGTCATTTTGGCACTTGGGAATCAGTGCAATAGTAGAAGAGATGAAGTGATGCAGCCACAATTACCTGCTAGCCCAGAAAGTAGCTGTTAGGTTAAGGTAGCTGTGCATCTTCTGAGGAGGAAGCCTGCCTTACCGGAAGACATAGTCATGGGAGTCAATCTCCTGGCCCATCCCAGAGTTATTCAGTATTCCTCCATTCCCCACGACAGCACAGCTGATGCATGTTGGAATGCTGCTGTTATGGTTGGCCAGGAGCAGCTGCTGGTGGGGATTCGGGGGCAGCAGGGACATGACCTCCTTCACCACTGTGAAGCAAACATGGTGGAGAGTTATCAAGAGTCTTTGGGATGGACACAGTGAAATCACCACAGTTTCCACCAGGAGGCCCACCTAGCCTTTGACAGGGAGATGCTGCAAAGCTCCAGCTACTTGGCATCATGTTCCTGTTGGGAGTCTGATGGTCCCATCCTGACAAGCCCTGAGGGACTCACGTGAATAATTCAGGTCCATGAAGCCATATGGGGGTATAAAATGCTCCAGGCGGTTCCATTCACTGTCATTGAAGTATCTCTTGTCTGTGAAGATTGTGATGTTGGGCAGGAAGAGATCTCGCAGCCAGTCAGACTTGGCAGCTCTGGCCCTCACTGATTCAGAGCAGGTCTTGAAAAACAAAAAGAAAACAATAAGGACTGATGAGCAGAGAGCTGATCAATCTGACTGAGTGCCAGTGCTTGTGTGCCTGTGTGTGACAGGGTCAGAGAGAAACATAGAAACTCCAGTGGTACATCAGTCATTCCACTCAGCATCCCCATCACCGTAACATGAAGCACAATTTCAGCACTACATCCATAACTACCGGGCAGAAAGTCGCCTACCACGGAGCCAGAGTGACTCCAAGTCTCCAAGACTTTCCTCTTCAGAATAAGAGGCCTGTGATGCTTAAATATTTTACTGGCTTTGGGCCTCATTAACTGATGCAAATTAATATCTGTAATAGGTCTAACCTGAACTTAGCAAATAAGGCTATAAGCAGTAATAATATGCTATAATAAGCAGTGTCCCACCTCACAAGGTCCTCAGGAAGCACCTCGGGACATGGGGGATTAGATCACCATTACCACTCCCTTTAAAGGTACGAAAAAAGGTACAACTTGTTCAATGTCATAAATTAATCACTGTGAAACGCACTGCCAGACAGGGAATCCAGTACAGGCTGACCTTCAAATGAACCTATGGAAACACATGCAATTGCAGTAAGTTCCCATACTAAAGCACAACAGAGGACTGGCCAGGCTGAGTCATACATGGAGGTGTTCCTGTCTGGGTCCCACCAGCATCTGCAGTGAGCTGACCTACCAGCTCAAAAATCATCCTCAGCTGCAACGGGCACACATGTCCAGGGGACAGCAGACAAGGAGGTCAGTGGGGAGGCATTCTTGGTGAGCACACACGCCATCACACCTACCGATGCTGGAGAGGAGTTATCCAGCAGGTACTTGTCCTCGAAATCCCAGTGTGGCTCAGATGTGTAGTTAGCAGCGCTCAGTTTTGTCTTTTTTGTCAGTGCAGCAGCCTGAGGAACAGGTGTTACAGTTTTCACTGACGCAGGAGGCTCTTTGGGTTTTGATTGGTCTTTGGATGTGTTGTTTTCATGAGCTCCCTTCACCCCAGAGGATGGTTTCACTGTTGCCTTCTCCTTGGCTTCCTGCGCCCTGGGAAGGGGTTTCACTGTTGTCTTTTCCTGCTCCATCCCTGGAGCTGGTCTCACTGTTGTTTTCTCCTTGTTTCCCTGCACCACAGGGGCTGTTTTCACTGTTATCTTCTTGATTTCCTCCAACTGAGGTGATGGTTTCACAACCATGTTCTTGGCTTCCTTAACCCCACTAAGCGGTTCCATCATTTTCTTCTCCTCCTTTCCTTTCCATCTTGGTGTCTTCTCCACCATATCTTTTTTGAGCTTTGTGATGTCTCTCCCCAAAGTCACCTCTAAAAACCTCCTAGAGTTCCCATTATCAGAACAGTTTAAACCCTGTTGCTCTTGGTTGTCCACTTGTTGCGTATCTGGGGCATGTTGAAAGATGTTCAATTTCCTGAATGCAATCAAAGAAAAAGCAGACACATCACACACACTTTCCACTTAACACTGAACACCCTCCAGCCCATTTTTAGTGCTCTTGACTCTGAGCCTCTCTCTGTGCTTTAGAGCAATTTCATTTTGATCTTTGCCAAAGTGTTATTCAACTTCCTACACCATTCTGGCCTGAATTCTGCTTATCTCCCCACTAAGCAAATCCCAGAGGTACACACTCCTCTCCTCAACACTTGGCTCATGAAACATTCACACTGGCTGTCACTAGCAACCAGTACAGCACAGCTTTGCCCTGCACCGGGCAGGACCCCTGGCAAAGTCCCCAGAGCACTGTTGTTTTGGAGATCCTGAGCTCAGGACATGGCACACACCACGAAGGCAGCCATCTGGCTCTTTCCTCTGCCAGCAGAGCTCTGTGCTTCAGCAACAGAGCAGGAAAATCTTCCAGAACTCAGGAAGGGAAGTCTAAGAAGAAGTGAAACTCCCTCCTTTACCCTACATCATTTCTTGAGCATTTGGGCATTCTCTGCCACAGGGCACTTCTCCCTCTCCTCCTCCTCCTCCTCAGTCAGCTGATGCAATGGCATCACACAGCACTCACCAGGTACACGTGTCTTAGGGCAGACACCCTGAAGCCATTAAAATGTAAAATCTCTACATTTTTAGCACTTGCCTCTAATATTGCAGCTGCCCTGTTGCCTGGTTCAGAGGCACAGGCAGGTACAAGGTTATCACAGAGGGACACATCTGCCAACAGCAGAAGAGCCACCTGCAACAAGACTGGGCTGAAATCCAGCAGAAAAATCAGGGCAGAAGTGGTGGGGTTTTGTCAAAAACTTCCCTTCTTATCTGCAAATGGCTGGAGGGTGGAACAGGAAAAAGGAAGGTGAAAAATTCCTGCAGCTGAGCTTTTATGTACAGCAAAGCTTTTTAGGATAAACCATCGTGGTTGTGGCAGTCTGATTTCACACTCATGTTCAGCCTTTGCTTCCAAGGTAATAAATGGGAAAAAACCACTTCTGCAGATAACAGGCTGTAGATAACAGTTCAATTGCTGCTGGAATTTGATGGATGCCATAACACTCTGTTCAGGAAATTATTAGGTAAGGAGGCTTTTAACAGTTGTTTTGTATCAGATAAATACAGGAACCTTTGCAATGAGAAAAGAGGGAGTTTGTAAAACATGGCCTGTCAGCTCCACCTCTCTCATAATCCTTAGCCAGTTACAATCAAGAGTGCAGAATGTGCTTTTGTAGTGGGTTGACCCTGGCTGGATGACAGGTACTCACTACAGCTGTTCTCTCACTTCCCTCTGCAATTGGACAGAGGAGAGGAAAAAAAAAGGGAAGGATTCATGAGTTAAGAGCTGGGAGAAGCACTTACTGATCACCATCAAGGGCAATACAGACTCAAAATGGAGATATTAATTGGATTTATTACTAACAGGGGCAGAGCAAAAGAGTGGGAAGTAAAATAATCTTAAAAACAACTTCCCCCCACCCCTCCTTCCTTCCTAGTTCTCCCTCCTCACCTCCAGCGGTGCAGGGGGACGGGAATGGGGGTCATGGTCAGTTGTTGTTTCTGCTGCTGCTCAGGGAGAGGAGTTGGAGCCCTTCCCCTGCTCCTGTGGGGTCCCTCCCACGGGAGACAGTCCCTGATGGACCTCTGCAGCATGAGTCCATCCCTCGGGCAGCAGTTCTTCCCAAACTGCTGTCCCGTGGGTCACTCCTCCATGGGGTGCAGTGCTTCATCAATGAGCTGTACCAACGTTGGTCCCCAACAGGGGCCACAAGTCCTGCCCGGGAAAAACCTGCTCCAGCCTGGGCTTCCTTCTCCATGGGCTGCAGGTCCCTGCCAGGACCCTGCTCCATCCTGGGCCTGCCACGGGGTCACAGCGTCCTTCCTGCATCCACCTGCTCCAGCATGGGAGCCTCCATGGGCTGCAGGGGAGTCTCTGCACCCCGATGCTCCTCCATGGGCTGCAGGGGCACAGCTGCCCCACCCTGCTCTGCACCACGGGCTGCAGGAGCCACAGCTCCGGTGCCTGGAGCACCTCCTGCCCCTCCTGCACTGACCTTGGTGTCTACATTGTTGTTCACATGTTTTCACTCGGTTCTTCCCTGGCCGGATTTTTTTCTGTGCAGCAACCTTCTGTTCTTAAGTATATTATCCCAGAGGCATCACTATCATTCCTAATTGGCTCGGCCTTGCCCAGCGGCAGGAAGCCCATCCTGGAGCCGGCTGGCATTCGCTCCACCAGACAGGGGAAGCTTCCAGCAGCTTCTAACAGAAGCCACCCCTGTAGCCCCACTGCTACTAAAACCCAGCCACAGAAACCCACTACAGCTTTCTATCCTCACGCTTCATGTATAAACTTGCGTTGCTATTTACTGCCCAGTAAGAGGAAAGATTTTATATGTACACTCTAAGTAAAGAGATATTGGGTAAGGTAGCTCAGGCAGATCTTAAATCCCTTGATGAATGTCTGTTGTATTTTTAAGATGACATTTAAAACTTTGAAATTAAAGGGCAGAAGACAAGTGAAACAGGGCGGTATGACAAATGAAACAGGGGAGTATGACAAACCATTCCCCACTCCATTTCCCTATGTGCTGTCTCACAAGGCCAATTCCACCCCAGCTCTATTACATTTGCCCACATGGCCAGACACTCGTGCCTACACAGGACCCTGCTCTCCTGACCAGCATTTTAAATGCAGACAAATTGTCAAAGCAGCTCATCCAATTTCAGGCTCTAGAGTCCAGCTGGCAAACAACTGCAGAAGCTCAATGACACTTACTGTCATTTCCTCTCCTTTTACAAAGCCCAAGGACAAATAGAGGATAAAGCCACGAAAATGTTGCTTTGTGTATTTTATGTTACATATAAAGGTACAGAAATAGAACTGCCACACAAATAACCACAGGCAGCTCATACCTTGTTCTGTTTTATTTCAGTTGCAAAAAAGGAAGTAAATTCATTTCAGGCATTTCCATTACCTGAAACTATGGCAGAATTAAATGGCTTCAAGCAGCTGGGCATGGAGAGCCAGTTCTTGTCCCAGCTCTCCCACTGATGGGCTCTGGGATCAAGGACAACTCACTTCATTTCTCTACACCTCCTCCTTCTCTCCTTTTCCTCCCACTGCCTCCCTGGTGCAGATTCCAACCTCTACAAATGGATAGCTGCCCTCAAGGTGTGGTCTCAAGTTGCTAGAGCTGAGCTTAACTCAAGTCACCTCCAGAAGAGATGCAGATGTTCCCAGCCTCACTCTTCCTGCCTGCCCCCACAGCATCAGCCCTGGGACATCCAGCTGAAAACAAACTCCATCAAGCTGAGCCAGATGAGCTCACTGGGAGAGCTGGGACCAGATGAGGGTGATGGGGAGGCTGGGAGTGGTGCTTCCTATACACAGCACACACCACACTACAGAATCACAGTATCAACTAGGTTGGAAAAGACCTCTGAGATCATCGAGTCCAACCTAAACCAACACATCCATGAGCCATGCTACTACTAGGAAAGGCTCAAGTGTCTCCAGGGCTCATCCAAGGAACAGTGCTCCCTGCCAATGATGCTGGAGACACTTCATTGCAGTCTACACTACAATTCCCTCCACATCCCTTCTTGTAGGATTTGCTTGACCATTTCTTTAAATTATATATATATATATGGATCATGTCTGCATGACACTGGTCTCCCAGTATGCAGCATATTTGTGTTAGGAATCAGCTGCTGAACTCACTAGAAATTGGAAGGCATCCAACCCAATTCCCTGTCCAGCAATACAATCTAGATTAGGGCTGAATAAAGTCATTCAGGGAGCCACTGTGCAGTGCCAAAGTGTGAAAGCAGGTAGCATTAATAAAGGAAAGGGTGCTTTAAACAGCTACACAAGCAAACCTTAGAAACTAGGGAGCCAGCAGAAGTAGGTTTTTGAACTGTGGATCTTCCAACACCGTGCTCTGCCTGAACGTGGTCTGCTAAAATAAAGTGGTCACCTAACTCAGATCAGCAGTGCAAGTTTTAGGGTGAAAAAGAGAGAGGCAGAGAAAGAAAGTGAGTGCAAGTACTCTGCCCAGACAGTGCATATCAGGAGGAAGCAGGTCTCCTACCTGAAAATCTTTGTCTTCTCCAAGGAGCTGAAATTGGCAATGAAGATGCAAAAGTAGGTTACAACAATGAGGCAAATCACAGTTTTGGCAATTTTAGGGAGCCTTATCCTGGAAAATCGCATGGTGAGATGCCCGGGAGCATCAGAGGCTCTGCTGCCACTGCCCAGAGGTGCTCGCCAGGCACTGCTTTATCAAGGTGTGTTCAATGACTGGGCTGGTTTTCTCCCTGGATTTGCCTACAGGAAGGCGCACACCCTGTCTCCCAGGATTCCCAGACACTTTGCACACAGATCCAATTTCTCAGGCCAGCTTTTACTATTCATATGTATCACCATAAAACCATAAAAGGGTTTGGCGAAATAAACACTTGAAGAGAAGTACAAAGATCAGTGTTTACAGAGCCACTGTGCTCATCCATACTCTTTTATATGGATCCGAATCATGGGTCATCTACCGCCACCACCTGCGGCTCCCAGAACGCTTCCATCAACGCTGCCTCCGTACAATCCTAAACATCCACTGGTCAGATTATGTGACTAATATGTCTCTTCTAGAACAAGCAGCAGTTACAAGTATCGAGGCCATGTTGCTGAGAACACAGCTGCGTTGGGCAGGACACGTCTCCAGGATGAAGGACCAACCACCACCTCCCTAAGATCCTGCTTTATGGTGAACTTGCCACCGGCTGCCGCAAGAGAGGAGCCCCGAAGAGGAGATACAAGGACTCCCTAAAACAACATCTCAGCCTTGGCCATATTGATCACCATAACTGGTCTACTCTGGCCTCCAATCGGGAGGCCTGGAGACACACCATCTATAACGCTGCTGATGCTTTTGAGAACGCACACAGGGTCACTCTCGAGGAGAAAAGACAACGCAGAAAGAATCGAGCCTTGCAGAATATACCATCTAAGAAATCTTTCTGCTGTGCCTTTTGCAACCAGACCTGCCTATCTCGTATTGGCCTTTTTAGCCACCAGCACGCTTGTAACAAACGTGGGTAGAGCCCTTCCCAAATCTTCGTTCATGAAGCCCAGCCATGATGATTGTAACAAATAGTGGGAAAAGACCTTTTACTGCAAACAGTGGAAGTTTCCTATGTTTTCCTTAATGAGACTGATCTGGTAAGAAGGAAACCCTTCACCTCTGATCTGGCGGAAGCACCACTGGGAACATGTGTAAATTATGGAAGTAGCCATAGTTACAATCAAAGAAGCTTTCATACCACCACTTGCCCAGGATTTTAGATATAACCATAAACATATATTCTTAATGCAGTAATTGCTTGCAACTGCAATCCAGAAGCAATCCCTGCCCCTCAAAAGCTGATGGATAGGTACACATCCATTTTACCTTGTGATTGCTTTGAAATAAATCAAAGTAAGAGTCGTTGCAAATCCAGAACAGAGAAGTTTGTGTTATGAAAATCCCTGGTCTGTGTGGAATCAATTTGGGCAGTCCAGAGTACATCACCCCAGCAGCAGAGGGAAAGATCTACAGAGATGAACGTCCCAGCCAGACAAATGCTTATCTTTATCAGGTAGTTTTACAGCAAAGGGCTATTTTTAATTTCTAAATTGTTAAATATTAGCCCTGACTGTTCACAGGGAGATGGCCTTAGTGCTCCTTATGCATAGGCTGCTTTTGCACAGCTCTTATAAAAAAGTCAAGCTTGGATATAAAAAAGCTTTTGTTGATGGTATCAACAAAATCTCAGAAGCAGTCACACTGATACTGAATACACAGAGAACAGAAGGTGCCTGTTTTATGTCACAGGAAAGCCAGTCAACAGGTTTCACAGCTACCTTGTACCCCTCCACAGAGCACAGCAAATAGCTGCATGGACTCCCTGTACAAAGCTCAGCAGTAGCTGCCTTTCTTTTCTGTCCATACTTACTGACAAGTTACTCTCTTTGGATTTATGTGCAAAGCATTGGTTATCAGAGGGCCTAGGAGAGAAAAAATGAAACAATAACATAGGTTTGAAAAGCCCTTGAAGAAATACAGGGGAGGTTGTTAGCTCAAGGTACAGCCCTGGCTCCATCTACAACAAAGCATTTCACTGTTGCTCAAACTGAGCCCAGGATTGAAAGAGAGATGTGTTGAACAACTACAGGCACTGAGAAAGGGCTCAGCCAAGGTATTGCCATATTCCAGCTCATGAGCTCCAGGCACTTCTACAGAGGTGCAGCAGGCAAGTAGCAATTCTGTGCCCACAAAATCTCCAACAGGACATTCTTACAGGAATAAGTATCAGTCCTGCACTCATATGCAGCACAAATAGCAATGGCTTCATTTTAGCTTTCCTCTCTCAAGTCCTATGCACCTTCAGGTATTCAGCTTGGAAGAAGCTGCTTGTGTGCAACTACAAAACTTTTTCTGTTAATAGGGTCTCAAAGAGAAATTCTGGAAGCAGCAAACACTTCCCTTCAACCTTCTCCATGTACCATTACTGCAAAACCAAGAGCCACAAGGGATAGCAAGACTCTGACAACCAGAAGAAGATGGATTTCTTTGCTTTTAAGGAACTGCTCTGGTGATTGTGGAGAACACGTCTGTAGCACTCTGTGTTCAGGAAAGATTGTGCTTGGGGGAATATCCTGATCTCTGGCAAGCACATTAGCCAAAAGCAGGCTTGCTATGCAAAACACACAGCTTTCCACCTTCTTGGTGTAAGAAAAGAAAACCTAAAAACCCCTCTCAGAGTACTGACTTCTGCTTCCTTGGAGTATCATTTCATCATCCTCCACCTCCACTGCTGAAATCTGTCAGAAGTGAGGCAGCCAGGCTGGTTAGCTCAAACATGAGGTCAGACTGGGAAATGGGGTTATATTGGAACTCTCCAGGGTGACCTGGTGAAAAGTGAGGCCAAGAGCAAAGCTGGTCCCTTATAAAGCTCTATAAGAAGTAAGATGCTTGGGATACACAGGGCTCCCCCACAGACAGGAAGATAGAAAGCAAATAACCTGCACCTAACACAGGTACTGTCCTCTCAAGGGCCACAGGCTATGCCAGCCTCCTTTTCCAAACACATTTCTCTGGCATTCCTACCTGCAATCCCAGGAGATGCTGCTTCTCTCGTGGTGTAGAGACTCCAAACCCAGCATTGCTGCCCCATGTTCAGTTGCCCAGTTACCAACATCAGCGACCACAACAGAAGAAGTTCTTCTATTCTTCAGTGCTGTAAAAACAAGATGACTTTGTTTTAAAGCAAACTGCACCTGGGATCAGCAAGTGAAGGTGGTTATCTGTCAGCCCTTTTTCATCTCCAATGGTCCATTTAATTGCACATCCACTTAACTACATCCTTATTACATCCTGGACATATAAAAGGCAGATTTGCCTGGTTTGGGTTTTTTTTTTTTGTTCATAAACAAACTTCATTGCTATTAGATCTTAAACTGTGTGTGTTGTGGGTGTCGGCTGCCATTTGAACTGTGCCAAAAATTTATCTATGGGCATGTTCTCCAGAGGGCTAGGTGTCAAATTTTGTTGACTTGCCTGTGCCCTGTGTGCTTTCCATTTTCCCATGTCTCTGGGTTATGGAACAGAACATCACAAGATGTGTTTTAAGAACAGAGCTATTCTACAAATTGATCCAGCCTTTGCTGCAGGGTAAACTTGTCTTTCAGTGATGGTTACATTGTACCATAACCAGTACTTGACTGGAAGCCAGTGGAATAAAGAGCTGCTAAAGGAGCTGGGGGTGTTTGGACCTGTTCACAGTATTACCTGATGATAGAAGAACTGAGTGAGTTGTAAGTGGGAGAGAAGAATAATGACATTGCCTCCAGCATGTGACTGCTCAATGGTCATGCCTGTGGGCTAGCAAAGGCTTAGCTTGGCAAGCTTAGTTTCTTGTTCCCCTCTCCCTGTTCAGCAGTCATCTCCAGAAGCCAAAGCTTTCAGGTTGGGAATCTGGGGAGGAAGAAATTACAAGAGCAAACTCTGCACAACTATTTGTCTTGCTTTCACCAAATAAAACCCATAGCCCAAAAAATTCCAAGCTTCCCATAATTCCACATTCACTTGTCGTTTTCCAGCTAGTCCCTTCCCTTCTGCACCAAACCTTCCCTCACAAACTCTGAACAAGCACCCAGAGACAACAGCATTTGTGAGACAAAGCCCCCACATCTTCCATTGTGGCACTTTCAAGAATACCCACAGTTTTGTCACAGAGCAAAGCCCCAGAAAACTGTGCCAGGAGCAGGGGAATGGCTTAGAGAGCCAATTCGTCTGTGTTCTCCATGGGCTAAAATGCCCCAGGAGGGAAAGAGACAATGGATTTGATGGTGGAACACTTGAAAGCGGCTCCTCAGTGTCCACACAGCAAAGCAAAACTTGTTGGGTTTTCATTAGTGCTGATTTGTGGGCTTGGCATCCAGCCCCACCCAGCTAATGCCCCCGTAAAAAAACTGCCTTGAATCTGTGTTGTGACAGCAGATGACATGGGTCCAACCTAGAATATTTCTCCCTCTCCCACACAGTAATGGACCCATGGACAGGCTCCTCAGCCAGCTCCTACACACCATGGAATGTCCTTGCCTGGAACAATCACTGGGAGATGGAGTGTAAGTGCTCTTAATTTGACCATATTACAGCCTCTGGTTGCTGGAACTTGTTTTCGTTCTTTCTGTAAACACAGTGAGGACTCAGCTTTTGAGCTGTTCCCCATGGCCACAGCTCTGGGTGATAATTAACCTCCCTGTACAGAGTGGAGCAGACCAACTCTGTCACCACACGGCCTTTCTGCTTCTTGAGCTCTTCACCATTCACCTCACCCTGCTTGAGCTGCAACCCTGAAATGCTCTGGTCTCAGCATTCCTTCCTCACACACACAACACTGAGAAGACTAATGAGCCACCTCGTTTGAGAGAATTTAAAAAGCCACAGAAAAATACACTCCCAGCAACAATGGCTGGAAACATCAGCTGGAGTTACACAGGCTGGAAAGAACCAGGGGTCCTTTATCCAAATGCCTCCCTCAGCAGCCTTTTGTCTGTGCCATCCCAGCAGGAAGCTTAGCACAGCACCCCAGAGCTGCCAGACAGACAGACAAACCCACACCACTTCAGGGCTGAGATGGGCTGTGAAGTTTTTCCCCCCACCCCCTTTAAAATCTATTTGATGGAAAGGAAGAAAACATTCTGTTTCCTGACCAGGAATCTCTCAGACCTGGCCCCCCAAGGAGCAGGGCAGCACTGCAGATGGGTGAGGAGGTAATTTATTAGACTCATGGCTAGTTGCCCTCCCATCAGAAAAGCAGCCTCTACAGCTCCTCTCCCTGACAGCTGCCAGGAGTAGGAGCATTCCAGCACTCTTCACTGCTGCAGAGAAAGAAACACAAGAATCACAGAGCATAAATTCCTCTCCGTACCCCCAGCAAAAAATGCAGGCGTATTATCTCAGCACGTCACAACTGGCAGCAAAATTCAGTCCCTGCACAGATATAAATTACATCTGTATGTGGGTCTACGACTTTCAGAGCCGTAAGTGAAATATTTCTTGGTAAAGGTCTTTCCCATTTTCTTCACACTGATTTAACATCAGAAACCATCCCCCTTGACATCTCTGGCAGGACAAATGTACCATTTGGCATCCTTTGGGGTGAAAAGTGCTACAAGGAATGTAAAATTAACCCTGCTTCTTGAGTGGTATAAATCATCCTGTCCCTGTCTTACACTTGGAAAACGTGGCCTTTCTCTCTGTTCCTCACTGACAGGAGCATCAGAGAAGTGCAGTCACATTTTTAGCTGCAAGAGTAGGACAGTCACAGGGCTCTGTGAGGAGCAAGATGGATTTACTGCTGGAAATCTGATGCTTCTCTTCCCTTCGCTCTCTTCTGTCTATGGTCTTCTATGTACCAGTTCTCCTGCTTTATTTAGACACATACAGGGTGCTACTTATCTCCATCCTCCTCCCATTAACTTGACAGAGATGTTTGCCAGCCACAGAGAGAAGGTAATTCTTTGCCACATCAGCGGCACAACACCCATCAACCTCGTACAGGGAAGTCCCCAGGCAAAGTAATTGCTGGGCAGGAGAGCAGCACTGTGCCTTTGCACTGGAAATAGAGATCCTTGTTCTCAGGAGGGGTGTGACATTCTCTCCTGATTCCCTGGAAACTGCCTGGCATCTCTTCAATTTGGGTTTGTCTCGCAGGCCTTGGATTTCCAGGATGCAGAGTCTCAGCCAGAGCCAAGAGGATCAGCCAGCCTGTTCCTAATAGTTCTGCACGGTGACATTTGTCATCTCCTCCTAGAGATGCACTTCCTAAAGAAGTGCCATGGAGAAGTCAGGCAGGACACACACTCCGTGTGTTTGTTGCTAGCTCTGCAGCTTGTACCTCACGCTCTGTGTCCCCACTTTTAGTTATCAAATGACAATGATCAGGCCTACAACAGAAACAGTCTAAGCTGTGTTGTTTACATACAATGTCAAATTCGAGGGGTGTCCAGCCCTTGTGTTAATCTCTGTTATTCTGCCATTACAGCTCTCTCTGTAGTGGGCATTTGGCACTGAGACACTATCCATTCATTAGAATGAGTTACACTGCAGGGCCACAGCAACAAAGGCTGGAAAAGTCATCCTGCAAGGTCACCTCGTGCAGTTCCAAGCTTCAGTGGTATCTGAACAAACCCTGTGACTGCAAGCAGATGTCAGTTGGGCCCTGTCTATCTTTCAGTGACTTTGGTGTTTCCCTCCCTCTCCCTAAGCAATCTACACCACTGCATCACAGTTCACTGACCCCCATTTGCTTCACTCCACCTTGCAGCTTGCTCAATGTCCAAATTCATATTTACCCCTTAATATTGTGACCATAGGTAAACACAAGCTCAGATTACTAAAATAACAAATGCACAAAACAATCAAGAGCAAGAGGACACATTGCTCTTTATTAAAATAAGAACTGTGGAAAATTATTCTTCTGGTTGTTTAAATACGTGTGCTATTCTGTAAAACCATATGGTAAAGGGTTCTCAGAATCCAAGAGAAATAAGAAGCCCTCGGGTTTATAAACCTTTTGTAATTTACCCTAAAGCACTTGCAAATTACCTTACTGGGGGTCCTTCAGTGGATGCTGCCAGGCAGTCCTGGCTGAAAGGAGTATGAGGAGCTCTGCTAAAGCATCGCACACTTTTCCAGACAGAAAGTCTCTGAAATAAACAGAAAGGAGACAGTGCAGCAAAAGGCAGTTAATCACATAGAATTTAACCAGGATGGTGCCAGCAGTCCTGCTTTTGCCCAGAACTCCAAGGATATCTTTTTGCTTTCAGCTTTATCTCTTTTTGCTTTCAGCTTTATCTACACACTGGTGGCTCCACCACAACATCCTCAGAGCCCTGATGGCTGAAGCCACCACGCTCCAGCAGCTCACAAGTCAAAGGTGGGCTATTTGTTTTGCCACTGCCAAAGTACTTCACTGTTGGTCAGGAGGTAGATCAATTAAAACCATTTGGATATCTCAAGTGCCCCACAAACACACTAAAATAACTGCACTTTTTCATGGATGGAAGTTCATATGTTCCCTAAAATAAATTTGACTTGAGAATTAGCTTTTTCTCCTATCTACAAAATGCACATTGTCTCAAGATAAACAAGTGGCATTTTATTTGTGTAATTTTATGTGGTTTGCTGTCTAATCCATCCAGGAAAAACACTTCCTGTCTTGTCATGTGGTTGATTAATCTTTAGGATTTTTTTTATCCTGTAAAACATTTTATTGTTTAGGGATTGCAGCCAAATTGCAAGTCAGTTTCTCGAGAAGGGCACTCCTTGAGGTGTAAAACACTGTATTCAGCCAGCCTCACGCTTCTCTTAGTATCAGCATTTGACAAGGTCTGGCCTTACAACTTCAAGTAAACCAGAGGCCTGCAATTCCATTTATGCATAAATAATCAGTGCATGCTTCACTAAAAAGGACTGGGTGGTCAACAACACTACCAGGGTTTTCCTGCAGGACAAACTGAGACACACTCATGCCTGCAAGCACCAGTTTTATTAACCTGGTTTGACTCAAAGCAGAGTCCTGGTGATCGAATTTTGTTTCAACACTGCAACTGGCAAGTGGAATTCATGCATGGAGAAGAGATGAGTAGAGCTGTCAACAACAGACCACTCTTACACCATCCCTTCCTATGTGCACCTAAAGACAACTGTCAGCTAAGTGACCTGAGAAGCGCCCAGCCAGCTCTTTCTTCAAAACTAGGTCCACATGGCTCTTTTTGTTCTAGTTTGTGCTCACAAAGAAGGAAAAAGAACTCCTGATCTCTGGTAGATTTGTTTAGAGAAGGAAAGGTCTGTACAAGGGGGTCTTGGATAACACCATGTGCTGTTAACCCCTAGGTTGCCAGGACAGAACCTTGCCATTACCATCACAACGTGCTTTCCCACCTTAGGACAACATGGTGAATCAGTCCTGGGCTCCCAGATCCCACCCAACCCCAAGGGTCTGCATCCCTGTGCCCCCACAGACTGTGCCAGTCACTATAAGTGCAGAGGGCAGGATAAAGTCCACCATATTTTCATACCATTAGCAAGAGAGCTCCTGCCTCATCTCTTGTTGCAGAAAGGTGAGCAGGGACATCAACCCCATCATCACAGGCTTGTCAGTATAAATACCACCAAACTGCCACACACAGTGCAGATCACTGATGGGTGCAGTATATCCATGTACAAACAAGGATAATCCACCCTTTAGTAAGAAACTATTTCCCACAAAAGGCCATAGGAGGAGCTGACTGTCTGGCAAAGACAGACCTTTGTCATGAAGGAGCCGGGGAATGGATGAGCCAAGACAGCACTTCTGCAGGACACCAGGATAAAGATACTGGATGCAGGTCCATCATCTTTGCCTGTGCACTCAAACATTTTAAGAACAGGCTGCTCCAGTGTGGGTCCCCTACAGGGTCACAGATCCTACCAGGAAACCTGTTCCAGTGTGGGCTCCTCTCTCCACAGGTCTGCAGGTCCCTGCCAGGACCCTGCTCCAGCATGGGCTTCCCATGGATCACAGCCTCCTTCGGGCATCCCCCTGCTCCAGTGGGGTCTCCTCCATGGACTGCAAGTGGATCTCTGCATTCCCACTGCCTTCCATGGGCTGCAGGGGCACAGTTGCCTCACCATGGTCTTCACCACAGGCTGCAAGGGAATTTCCACTCCGGTGCCTGGAGCACCTCTTCCCTTTCTACTCCACTCACCTTGGTATCTGCAGAGCTGTTCCTCTCACACTCTCACTCCTCTCTTCTCTGTCTGCAATTACAACAGTGCAATAACTTTTTTCCTTCTTAAACATGTTATCCCAGAGGTGTCACTGCCATCACTGACTGGTTCAGCTGTGACCAGTGGTGTGTCTGTCCTGGAGCTGGCTGGCCTTGGCTCTGTCAGACATGGGGGAAGCTTCCAGCATCTTCTCACAGAAGCTACCTCTGTAGACCCCCCCCCCCGCTACCAAAACCCGGCCACATAAACCCAATACAACCCATAAGGATCATCAAGTCCAACTCCTGGCCCTGCACAGGAATAACTCCAAAAATCCCACCATGTGCCTGGAATCTTTGTCCAAATGCTGCGTGAACTCTGGCAGGCTTGGGGTCGTGACCACTTCCCTGAGGAGCCTGTTTCCCACCTCAGCTGTGCTGGCAGCAGTTTCTAAAAAGCCAGGCAAAGGAGGTGTGTAGGACAGAGTGCAATTTCCTCAGGACATTTTAGGGAACCACCTCATCAACCCACTCCCAGCACAGCCAATGTAACAGTGTGACTGTAGGGCTGTTGAATCTGTTGTGGTCTACACACAAAATGAGGCCCAACGCTCTTGGCTGTTCATGGGCAGCTTGAAAATAGCTGGAAGATAAAATTCCCCCCTAAACCCAAGTTTTCAGAATGCCTCTGCTCCTATCTCAAGGTCACTGGGTTCACACACAGTGGTACTCCCCTTCTTCACTAAGGTCATACAGCTCTATCCTGCCACAAGGACAGCGGATGAGACACAGGAATCCTTCACTGCAGGACAAAAACACAGCCCACAGAGGAGAAAGAACTGGCAAACCCAACCTAAAATTTTCCTGTGGTGCTGCCTGAAATAGAAGTCTTCTTGCTTATGCCAAAAGTCAAACTTCACCACTACAAAGTTGATTTAAGTGTGTGGGTGTGAAAACTTCAGCACAGTCTGAACAGAGAAAAGCTGGGGTTTCTATTTTCTCCATCTGGTTTCTACTGGTCTTCCTACTGCTGCTGTGCAGGTAACACCCTGTGTAACTCATCCACCGGCTTCACATCACGGTGGAAAAACAAACAGAACAAAGCATGGAAGTGGAACAGACAATATCTATTCAGACCCATCCAAACTGAAGTGCATAAGCACACAGACAGATCTTTTAACAAAAAGCCAAAACAAACAGAAAGTTCAGAAATCAACAGGTGTGAGTCTCCCTCCCAGCCATTCTGACCATATCTTGGAAGTATCCAGAATCTATAACTCTTCCCTTTTGTAATAGACATAGCTCTAACTTTTAGTAAAGTGTCAGATGCTGAGACAAGCCTAAGCAGTCAGTCATTCCAGCTCTTTGCAAATCTGTTTCCCCCGGCAGTCTGGTTTATCCACCCAGTCACTTCACAAAGTCCCTCTTCACTCCAAAGGTCACAGTCATCTCCTTTGCCTGCTGGACTATACTGTTTCTCCTCCAAAGTTAAACAGCTGGGTTTTTCAGTGGTCCTTGCTGACATGAAAGGACACATTCCACATAAACAGAGTGACAGTTAAAGGGAATTCAGGGTGACAGGAGGGATTAAAAAGATCCTGTGCCTCAATGAGGAACTACTAGTAAGTCCAAATAGGTTACAATAAGGTAAGAAATTAAGGCATGAATCTGATGCTGCTACTCACCTGAAGTCAGAACTTGCTTCACATATGAAGCACTGGCATCCTCAGAGAGGATATCTCACTATATCTGCTGACCTCTGCTTTCCCCCACATTGGCATGAGCCAGTCTCTAGGCCCTGGTTAGTCACACCCTGCACACATCCCAGGGATCAGCTCTTGGTTAGCTCAGGCACAACTGCTGCGTGCCGGGAGCGGCGCAAGCCTGGACAGAGACACCGCACACAGTGCTCTGAGCTGAACCAGCCATGTCACACAGGGGGGTTCTGCCTGTACCCCATGCACCAGCAGTGCTTGTCAGAAGCAGCTACTGCCAGCAGACTGCAGCTTTCTCCTCAGCTCCCAGAATTTGGGGTATCTGGAAATGGAAAGAAGATGACACCAGTCCTCTGATGCTGGAAGGCACTACAGAGTCAAAGCATCACCTTTCAGAAGAGTTACTGAACCAATAAGACCATCTTCACTTACTACAAACTAACCACTTCCAACACTCCTCCCATTTCCTCAAAACCAGCATCCTGAGTTAATTTCTGCTTCCATCAATTATCAGGAGCAAAATTAGAACAAACTGAGTCATAGGCAGTGTTATAAACTGATTTCAAAATTTTACTTACAGCACACAGGGTACTGGTTTCCTCTCTGATAAAAAGGCTGTAACAGTGTTGACAAGGAAGACAAATGACAGAGGCAACGATCCAAGACATCACCTCCTTTGTAAGGATTGCAGTTATATCTGTATGAGTTATAAAACAAGGCAATAAAATTCAAGACCATTAGAACAATGTCACACACATTACAGTAGGAAATACCTCCACTGAGCCAACAAATACTCATCCCACAGGTGAAAAAGAGCTCAGTTGTTGGGGGCTGGGGGATCAAGAGAAGTTTTAAGAGATGTTAAAAAAAAAGTCCTGGTCCTGATCAGGAGGATTTGCTCAGAAAATCTGAGTCATTAGCTAAGTTTAGCCAGTCTCAGGAATGGTGGAGAACAGGTGGATCACAACATACAGGGTTCGTGAGAGATTTGTGAAGGAGAAAAGGACAGCACATCCTTAATCCTCCCTAAAGCAAACAGCACCCGAAATGTTCCCTCGGAGGTTTGCGGGCCCTCTCTGCTGTTTGTACAAAACAACAGCACCCTCCAGAGGATAAACAGCGCTCGCTCTGCCTCTCCCGCACCTCACCTTTTACGAACATGCAGTGTATGAGCTTTTTTCCAGCTGTGAGCGCTGTAGGCCTGTGTTTAGGTTAGCCTTGGGTAAGAAAACACGAGCCATTTTAGAAGAGCAGTAACAAAGAGCTCCAAAAAGAACCCTGCTTTCTACTGCCAGGCAGCACTCTCTCTCTCCAAAGTGTCAGTGTTCCTCACACCAGGGCTGCAATCTCTTCACAGCTACAGAGGAAAAATTGACCCCACTGAAGGTGACTCATCACACCTCACCTTTCGGATTTTATCTCGGGGAACAACTGGTTGAACTCACTGGTGGGGCAATGAGTCCACATGACCCACACGAAGGAGGCTCCCAGCCCCCCCTGCCACCCTTGGCGCAGTCACACTGCCAATTTTGGAGATGTGTTGAGACTGCTTGTGATTCCCCAGGACGATGTCAGTTGGCTCTTCCATCTCTTTCTACAGCAGCACCCCCAACAACTTGGTTCAGCACCTGAAAAATGTCTCAATCCCCACAGTAGGTTTGGCACCAGCCTCTGACGGAAAACAAAATCAATTATCCGCTTTCTCTGAGACAAATTAACAGGAAACAAACTATGCAATATCTCATCTTAATTAGTTTATTGTTCCCGGACCAATTTAGCAGTTGACAAATGCAAACAGCACACAAACCATTCCCAAAAGCTGAGCAGACCGTGACTCACTCATTACAGCACATACCTCAGTGACTGCATTCCAAACCTACTTTGGGAATTAAAAAAGTATTTCAGACAGGAGAATTTCCCCTTTAGGGGAAAAAAAAAAAAAAAGAGTGTCTCACAGTTATTCCAGAGGTGCTGGCTGGGATCCAGTAACTGGATACATTTGAACAGTAGCTCTATTCAAAGTTTAAAAACACCCCTAACAAACCACAGGGACTTCCATGTTTTGCTCTGTTCCTGTCCCAGCACAAAGGCAGTTTCAAATCCACGGCACCAGCACTCCATCCCCATCTATCTTTAGGAATTCTTACCATCCAGTGCTCCTTCCATAATTCATAATCTGAGATGCTTCACTTGACATTTAGAAAAGGCTCACAAAAAGATGACATTCCTGGGCTTTACTCATATTATGAAAAAAGAATAAAAAACCCCAAATACCACTCAGTTGCCACAGCCAGAAGGTAGAAGACACCACTGTACATTCTCCAACACATCTGAGGTTATGTTGGCCAGACAGCTTCCAGAGAAATGCAGGTAGAAAAGGCTTCAGTAACAAGGGAGTTGTTTTTTATACAGTCCTTATGTTATATCAAAATGTGATTCACCAATAAAAATGTCAGTAAAGGTGAAGCTGCTTTCTTAAAACAGGAGCTGCTTGTGCCCCTCACTCACTACCCAAATTCCCTATAGGCACCAGATACCACAAGTTTCAGAACTAGCTATTTCACCACCTAGAGAAAATTATATTCTCTAAAATGGGTTGTTATCTATATGATTTTTAAACTTTGTTCCCACCATTCTTACAGGAATAAATCCTGACTATTATAAATTAATTCCCTGCCTGGAAACAGTGATTAAGAGACATGAGGGACTGGAGGGGTGAGGCAGGAATGAGTGAGATGCTTTTCAGTGTTATAACTCCAAAGGTGATCTGGAAACTCCTGCTTGTTCTCCTCTCGAGGGTATTAAGTGAGGACTTTTGCCTTTGATTCATTCTGAGAAATACCCCTGAGGAATTTATTAAAAAATATTTGACATAGTTTGCAAAAAATCCCAGAACTCCCCTGCACAGCACAGGAGGCAACCTAAGATGGAAAATAAACTTGTAGGTGCAAAAAGCAGGTTTGTTGTGTGTCTGGGGACACACTCTTCCCCAACTATAACTATTCCCATTTCCTTCCATGAAAAGGACAGTGCAAACCCACCTCTTCACCACCAGATACACCCTAGAGGGTGAAGCACCTGCAATCACATCACAGAGATCAAGGTTAACCAATTACAGAATCAACCTATGCAAAAAACCTCATTTAAACGATCTGTAAAGAAAGCCTCCAAACCTGAAATCCCTGTCAAAGCTACCTACAGAGCCAGAGGGGAATTGTGTTCACTCTCTCCTTCCCCTACCTTCACCTCCCACACCTACTGAAGTTCCCTACTCAAATAATTCCAGATTTTTTATAAACCTGGATCTCTGTTTCATGCCCAAAGACTGCTTGAGCTTGAATGAGGAATGAGAAACATATCTAAGAACACTGAGGACGCAGAACATTCTCTGATCTACCCAAGATTAAATCAAGACAACACAATCTATTCCTTGTCTGCAGGATCCTGAGTCACTAGATAACATTAGAGTGTGCTTAGGGGGATGTCAGGAACACAGGGAAATAAGAGCATCAGAATAAAAAAATACCTTGTTAAATATCTAGGATGAATTGTGATTGCAAACTATCCCTGTACCAGTACTGGGATTTACAGTACATAGATTTAATAAAGAACAGCTTAAAACATCAGTGCAGAAGCAGGTGGAGGTGGATGTTTGTCTTCCTGTGAATTGTCTGTCCCTGAAATGAGTTTTCCCACCTTTCGTAAACATAACTGATATCATCAGATAACTTCTGATAACCTCCAGGACAGACAATGCTGGATTGAAGAAAAGGATTTATGTGTTTCTTACCCCGTAGGATTCACCCAAATAAAGGAAGATTATTATCACCCAAATAAAACAAGCACTGTGCAAGATTACATCGCCCAAATAAATATGCACTAGGTAGACGGGGAATATATGTTAGATAGGTAGGGGTTTTTTATAAGGTGAATTTTACCGTATAAAAGAGGTAACTTTTTACCCTTTGGTGTGTTTGACTCGTGGAAACCTCCACCTCGCACCCTGTGCAGAATAAACAGAATAAACAATGTGCCCTTCAAGTCGAATTATCAGTCCCCAAACTGATTTTCTTTTCACCTTTTGTAAACAAAACTGAAGTTGCCAGATAACTTCTGGTAACTTCTACAACAGAAGTTGTTTAATGAAGAAAAGAGCTCTGTGTTGGAGGTAAGATCACATCACCCAAGCAAATATGTATTAGGCGGGCAGGCTCGTGTGAACTTTACTGCATAAAAGAGGTGACTTTTCACCCCTTGGGCTGCCTGATTTGCGGAGGCGCAATGAGCGGGATGAACAATGCGTCCTTTCCCAAACTAGGCTGTGTGTCCGTGTTTAGCGAGCTCCTAAATTCGGGCGCCTCACGGAGCCCACACGAAGCCCCTCTGGGCCGCCGCCATCGCTGTGAGGGCGGGAGCGGCCCCCCCCCTGACATGGCGGGTTAGGGAGGGCGGGCGGGGACAAGCCCGCCCTGCCGCACGGGGGCCCGGCGGGGACATGTGTGTGCTCTGGCGATCGTCCCTGCCTGCTGTGGCAGCGGGGGGCCGCAGCCACGGGGACTCCTCAGTGCCACCATCCCGTCATGAGGACACTCCAGTGTCGCCGTCCCCTCGTGGGGACCCCCTCAGTGCCGCCGTCCCCTCATGGGGACTTCCTAGTGCCGCCATCCCCTCGTGGAGAACCCTCCAGTGCTGCCATCCCCTTATGAGTACCCTCCAGTGCTGCCATCCCTTCATGGGGATTCCCCAGTGCCACCATCCCCTCGTGGGGACCCTCCACTGGGATCCCCCAGTAACATTGTTCCCTCATGGGACCCCCCCAGTGCCACCGACCCCTCATGGGGACCCTCAGTGCCGCCGTTCCCTTGTAGGGACTCCCCAGTGCCACCAATCCCTCGTGGGGACCCCCCAGTGCCTCCATCCCCTCATGGGACCCCCCAGTGCCACCATCCCCTCATGGGACCCCCCCAGTGCCACCATCCCTTTACGGGGACCCCCCAGCGCAGCCATCCCCTCATGGGACCCCCCAGTAAAACTGTTCCCTCATGGGGACTCCCCAGTGCTGCCATCCCCTCTGAGGACCCCCCAGTGCCACTGTTGCCTTATGGAGACCCCTGAGTGCCTCCATCCCCTTGTGGAGACCCCCCGGTGCCACCATCCCCTCATGGAGGTTGGGTGGAACTGGACGGTCTCTAAGGTCCCTCCAACCCAAACCATCTGTAATTCTATGACTCTGTGATTACTGAAAGGACAATACCCACAAGGGGAAGATTCTGCTGCAGCAGCTGGTGAAATTTCCTGTATAAAGGGGAGACCCTGCCAGAGCAACTGGTGACATTTCCTGTATAAATATTGATGAGCCCAGCAGGTAAAGGAGCTCAGACCCCATGGCTGCAGGTCCCTCTGGGCAGCACCTCCCCACCGCCCTCACAAACTCACACGGATGTGTCCAGCAGGCTCCTCTTTATTACAGCTTTGCCAATGCACACAGAGAAAATGTACCATACAAACCCCGTGGGCTTCACATCTAGAAACCCTTTTGTTTCATGTCTTATGCAGAGGCTTTTTTATTTCTCTTAATGTCTTTCTTAAATTCAAGCTAGTAAATAACAGAGCTTCACCACTGTCCTGTCATCGACAGCATCTAAACATTTTGGTGACACTGCTCAGAACTGGTATGGGCAGGACAGGTTGAATTCCAGCCTTTAATTCTGCCTTAAGCAGCGTTATCACTGCTGGCATAATGTGAAGCTGAGGAGTTTGAGGAATTTTTTTTTTTAATCCCCAGAAATGTTCCTATTCAGAGAAGACACAAACATAACATAAGAAATAGAAAAATATTTTGGAAATAAACTGTAAAGTCTACAAGACAAAGACTAAAAATCAACTAAAACTTAACTCTCCTTTGGTTGCTTTCACAAAGAGCTTTGGAAAAGATCCTACTTTCAGTTTTGAACTAGGGAAAAGTCCCATATAAAAACGTTCTACATTTCTCCCTTTGCACAGCTTGACAAAGGAAATCATGTCCTAGGGACACAGCAAGCCAGCATGATGTTTCATATCATGGGACTCCTTTTCCCACTTAATTCATTCATGTTGGATAAGAAGAGGTAATTTTCAGACATTAAATTTAGATTAAGTCATGACTGGTAGGAAAACCACTTGATCTCATTATAAATATGCCTTGACCTAAGTGAAACAATTAGAGGATAAAATAATTCTTAAAAGTCTAATAGTCTGTTTTTATAGAATATGCTGTAGTGGGAGATAGTGAACAGATAATGAGATATTAGGTTTCTCAGACTCAAAAGGATTACACAAAATAAAGCAAACCTAATCTTTTAAGAGATCATTCCCTAAAACTGGGTCAAAAAATGTTGCCTTCCTTTGTCAGCAGTTATTAAAACTGAGAAAATCCTTCCTGATAAAAAAGTATTTAACAGGATTTCATAGGAGAGATAAGTACACCAGAAGACATTTAGCTATAATTAGGAATGCTCATTGATTTACTCTATTCAAACCACCAAGTGTTGGTCAAGACTTGAAAATACTTGATAAATTCACAGAGATTTCCTAAGTATGTAGTTTCCCACACAATTTAATGTTAGAAGAGCAGGATTTGAGAGGTGGACACAATCATCCTTTATTAAAGTCAGCCACCTCCCTGTGCTCCTTTTACCAGTGTCAGGAGGAGAAGAGGTGTTTGTGTTTCCAGGCTGAAGTTTGCTGTTGCTTCCTCGGGCATGAAGATGAGCTCAAGGAGGTCAGATGGAACTGGCTTGGATTTGTTTCAAAAAGCCAGTGTGAAGGAGGATGAAGGGTTCCTTCCCAGGAGATGAGAACGGCAACACACCCCTAATCAGAGCACTAATGCCTTGCCTTTGGCTATTTCCTTTCTAACTGGAGGATTGGAAGCCTCTCTGCCAAGAGAGCTTGTGCAGTTTCCATCTTTGGAGGTTTTCAAGACCTGACAGGATAAACCCCTGAGTAACCCGCCTTGGTCTCACAACTGATGTTGCTTTGAGCAGGAGGCTGGACTACAGACCTCCTTAGAACCCTTCCAACCTCAGTCATTCTGTGGTTCGACTATTTTCATCCATTTTACATCTAACATCTTTGGCTTTCTTCAGATATCAAACTGATAAAGACTAGGCTTGAAAGTTCATTTGCATAAAGCATGGCCAGAAAAAAGTTGTTTAACTGCTTTATATGACTGCTTTAAAGAGTTTAACTGCTTTATATGACTGAGACATGTGACCCAGCCAGAAAAAGGTAAAAAATCTCTGTACGAGATGAAAATAATGGGAGAGCTCTTAAAAAAAAAAAAAAAGATAAAAAGGGTAAGGAATTATAAGTCCTTTGAAATCCATATCACCAGCCTGTATGTGTTTGCAAAACAAACTGGAACTGCAAAATAACTAACGAGACACGTTTAAGGGCGTAATAAGGGCCAAAATAGCTTTTGGGCACATCCTCCCCTGGCTGCAAGGTTATATATCGTACAGTCTAAGCTGCTCCTTCATGTCTCCTTCAGACATCTCTCCAAACGTGTCACTTTTTTCCTTCATCAGTGTGAAGATGGCAGCCAGCTGCTCTCTCTGAACCCTGTCAAGAAGAAAAGGAGAAGTAGGAATAGCCGGTCCCCAGAAGGCACTTGGAGCAAGAACACCATGGTCAAATGAAACACGGAGCCAAACGCAGGTCACTGTAAAAGCCTTACTGGCTGCAGGAAATCTGCCCATGTGAGATAAGACAGAGAGAGCCTCTGGTTCTCCTTCCTCCCCTCTCCCATCTGCCCCATCATCCTGCATGTCTTTCTGCACTTCTTTCAACATGGAGATAAACCAGACTGCTTTCACACTAGCTTTGGAGTTCCTTAAGGCTTATCTATGCTCACAGTTTCAAGATAACTTGAAACTCTGTTTCTCAAGATAACTCGAGATGTGGAATTTCATAAGACCAGCATGTCCCAATTTAGCAGACTCCACAATGAACCTGGATTAAGATTCAACAGCAGTGTCCTTTTATTCTGTAATGAGAGTATGTAGATACAGAGTAATTCAGGAATAACTATTAAATTTGAAATGCTTATCCCACCTTAACATTAGAGACCAGACTACCCCTCAGTGTGGACATGACTTTAATCAGCCACTGGAAAATAAGATCACAGATAGGAATTTGCTTTGATTCAAGTTTGTCTGCCAGTGGGAAATGGTGAGATGGACCCAGGTAGCCAGTCCAGCAATGAGGTGACCCCAGTGTGGGCAGAGGCTGACCAGTGGACCCCCCAGATTTCCTTAGTAGATGATTAACACCCTTTTCCCCATAGCAGAGAATATCTTGATTTTTCCCTACCCTGAAGCAGTTGAGCATTTTACACAAAGATTGGTATCTGTGACAGGGCTTTATTTGTAGAAGCTTTATAGGAGGGCTTATACTGGTCATACACCTACTGGTCATCATTCAGGGATATAGGAGGGTGGGCAGCACAGGAGTGTCATTTGCTCACAAGTAGCTCATGAACTGATGTAACTGTGTACAAAATCCTCTTTTGGGTCAAAATGATAGTGCACATGGCTCCAGGCAGGGCTAGCTGTGGACTGGTACGTTCCCACTGCTGGACTCCTACCTGGCTGGGGTCAGATTGCTGTATTGCCCAACACATCTTGTACCTGACTCTCCTGCGTGAGATTAAGAGAACTAATGAGGTTGTGGTGCTTTACGGCTGTAACAAGGGAGAAGCTTTCTATTACATTCTATTACTTCAAGGCTCATTTTGCCTCTGCATGAGTGTGGGGCCAGAATTCAGTGACAGCTTAGAGCACAGATCTGCCACAATCCCAGCTCCTCCTGCTTGTTTAGCATCTTTAAACCTCCCGTGGGCTAGAAAGACAGAATCTGGCTTTTGCTTCCACGTGGTCATCCTGTCAAGAGTCCTCCTTCCTGCCACAGCCAGCTTCCCACATTGGACTTTAAACCATTTAATTAATCCATTTAAATACACGCCACTAGATAACCTGGGGTAGTCTTCCTGCAAGGCCAGTGTGGACAGGCTATCAGCTGTTCCAGTAACAAGAGGGGTAGTAATAACTATTGACAGGCAAACACAGTCTTTGCTTGGAAGGAAGGACAGCATCAACCCACGAGCAGCAACCACTCCATGAACAAGATCAGTGGAAGGAGACAGGAATGAGTAGAGGAACCTTTTTCATGTGCTGAACTCCTGCTCTGTGTTTTTCCGTATCCTGGGCTAAGCCCCAGCAGAAGCAGAAACAACAGCCTGTCCTCTCGGCACTGCTGAAGCAAACAGGGCAGGAAAAAAGCAGATCCTGGCTAAATCAAGCTTGTTTGCCAATTCTATTGCAATTAAAATCCAACGGTCCTGAGGCCAAACATATCCCGATAATGATGTGGGATCTTTCAGTTATGAAAGCCTGGATTTGTCTGTCTCTTTTGTAATGTTTTGTGCTCACATGAAGAGCCGCCCTTTCCAGACGATAAAGGGAAGCAGGGTCGTTAGTGATCAATATTTTATTTTAGATCACCGCTGGGCACCAGAGGGCACGTTGCCAGTCTGGTGTGGAGAAATTCGATACATGGCCTGGCCTCCTGT